TAGATTAATGAATGTGTGGACAAACTAAGAAAATTCCTTACCAGAAGCAGAATCAGAGGGCTAATTTGTGATTTGCTAACGAATTGCATGTTAACCTTAGTATTAAGATCAACAAAGTATAAAAACATCTTCTAAAAAATAAATAAAATTAAATTAGACAACTCTTCAGGATGAAGATGTATCTTTGAAAAGCATTTAAAAAAAACAAAGATAAATCACTACAGTAATGAATACATTTTATAAACACAATCTGTAAATCAGATTAAAATGCTAATTTCAGATTAATTTTCTACTTTTTTCAAAGCAGAGCAAAGTTAAAATTCTACCAATTTTCTTTAGGCCAACATTTACAAGAGATATTCTCAGGAAAACAAATCTATTACTTTATTTCTTCAAGCATATACCACATGTGTTTATACTCTATGTGTATCTGATTAAAAATAAACTGATATACTAAAGTTGTAGCCTTCTAAGGATTCAAGAAAGAAAATAATGACTATTTTCAATTATACTAAATATACATCAAAATTCAGGAATACCAAACACCAACCATTTTACATAAATATGTTCTTAAAATTTCTAGCAAATGTTTTCTGATTCCTGACATTAACTTATGATAAAATTTCCATAACTAAATTATATGCATATGTTATATACATATATGCTTATATCTTACATGTTGACATATATACTAATATACACATATTGATATATACATGTAAGATATTGTACTGTTAGCCCATTATTTACTGCTTTTTCACTGATACTCAAGAAGTACATGAATTCAAAAGAATTTAGCAGAAATGAACTTTAAAAGATCCTTCAGATACCAGAAGGTCTTAAGAAGTCATAAAAGGGGTATAAACTGTTAATTTTATGATGATTCTAGATATCCCTCACTTGGATAAAAATTCATAATAAAATTATCCATAATTGGTCACTTAGATAAATTTCTTTGGTCCCCTAAAATACCTAAGACCCATTACTCATTTGTTTGTATTTAAGTTTTCCAACTGCATTTTCATAAAATAAACCTATAATAAACATCACTTATGTTTCATAGTCATCAAATTACTTTTCAAAGAAATATACCGATCATATTTTTGGCCAAATTTTATGGCATTTTTCTTCCCACATGCCTAGAATTCTCCTTAATATGCCACAGTAGACTCCTTTTCGAAATTTAGACAGCCTTTACAACAAGGGAGTCTGAGCTCGTGTTGCTAATAACCGCTGGGGAAAGTTTCTTCCTAAATCGGTATGTCAAAGTCTGAAGTTTCAGATAAACGATTACTTTAATCCTTTCCTCTGAAATCCCATATAAAGTGAGCAGGAAAGTAGTCAGTAAGGCATAAACCCACAAAGGCCAAAGAATAAGGCATTAAGACAATGGCAGACTAAAAGTAATACACTAGTGGAGGATGGAAAAGAGCCAGAATGATCACTAATGTAGTGGAAATAAAGGAAAACTAATGGTCAACAAGTGGGGTGTGAAGCTTGGAACCCTGAAAAGGCTCATACATTGGAAACATCTCATGTATCAAATCCGGAAGTAGCCATGAATATGAAAACATGAATACTGGTTCAAAGATTACTTGTACAGGCGCTGAGAATGTCAGATGTCCTCCCTATCCCCACATGGTCAGATGACTGCACCTCCTTTACCTTGGTAGAAGAAAAATTTGATTGAAAATCATTAGTAACAGAGGCAGGTAGGAGTGAACTGTTGTGTTTAAAATCTACACACTAAACAGCGAAGTATATGAAAAATCTAAACCATACAGTGAGAATCTCAGTCTCAGCCCTAACTGCTTTGCCCTGATCAGCCTCCAAATCCTGGCAACTAAATATAAAAATGAAAAGGCTCCTCTTTAGAGAAACCTGAGACCAAGGAGAAAAGACACCGAGATAGTGCAGTATGGGGGGGGCCTCTAAGGATACTGACAGGTCATCCGACAGTCACACTGAGTGGTCAACCTCTTCCACACAGGCACAGAAAGCTTCCAATCAGAACGTAAAACAATCAACCAAATAAAACAAAACATAGTTCAAATGAGCTAAAACATATAAAAAAAAAGTGAATAAACATGAATGTAAGTCAATGATTATTTTTAACTTTTATAAATGGAATCACATAGTTTTCCCTGATCGGCTTCTTTTGTTCAATATTACATTGATGAGATTCATCCACAGTTGTAGTTAGTCATAATTCATTTTTCATCATTGTGTAGTATTCTACTATACAAGTAAACTGTAATTTATCCACTTACTGCCACAAACATGTAGGTTGTTTCCAGTTTTGATATTTTTACAAATGATGACATAAACATTCTGATACATGTTGCCTGGTGCACATGTGCATATATTTCTGCTTTGTATCCACTAGAGAGTGAAAAAGTTTACAGAGTACAGGTATCTTTAACAGCTGAATGTTGAACAGGATACTATTAAAAGAGCATTATCAGCAAACAAGAAAGAGAGCTCTTGGCAATTAAACATTTTAATAGTTAAAATAAAACATTGTTCAGTAGAAGGGTTACAAGATAAAGTCTGGGAAATGTTCCAGAAAGTAGAATAGGAAGATGATTATGTGGACAATAGAAGAGCAAAAGAAAAATTTTGAAAGAAGTCCAAGGAGAGCAATTTCCAACTAACATTTCTAGAGAAAACAGGAGGAAAGTATCACATGTACAAGACATTCCCGAACTTTTTAAAGACATGCTTTTCCCACTCAGAAGAGTCCATCAAGTACCCAGCATAATGTATCAAAAAAGAATCCACATCACTATGAAATTTCAGAACACTAGGGATAAAGACCCTTCAAGCATCCAGAAAAAAAGGAGAGGGGAAGGAGGGAGGAAACTGGTAACATATTAAGAGTTAGTAACTGGGATGGCATCAGACTTCCCAACAGCAATGAGAAAGAAAAAGGAACTCTACAAATGACTTCCAACTCAGAATTCTATTCCAATCTAACTATCAGTCAAGAATGGAGAGAATAAAAATATCTTCATAGATAATAAGAGTTCCAAAAATGTATGTCCCATGTATGTCCTTTATCAGAAAACTACTGGAGCTGTGCTCCATCAAAACAGAGAATAAACTAACTAACAGAAAAACACAGTATCTAGGAAACAGGATCAAACACTGGAAGGAAGCAAAGGAAATTTCCAGGATGGCAATTCAGGGAAGTCTCAAGATGACACATTCCAGCAGGCCTGGGAAAGACCTAGTTCAGACCAGAGAACTCAGAACAGAGTTCTAAGGAAGATGCTTCCAAGAAATAAACAAAAGCAACAGATAACCTGATACGTTTCATCATACTGCAGAGAGCTATGTTTTAGAGAGTAGTGTTGGGTAAGTACACAGCCAGCAGGGGAAAGCTGAGAGAATTACTTATTTCAGGAAAAAAAAATAGAAAAATATTTTTAAAAAAATGGAAATACAGTGATACTCACAATATGACTGCGGTGAATCTCAATTAACCAGTCACAAAATAGACGGCTTAGGGCAGAGGACTACTGTTTTTCACTACAAGCCTTGAAGTATTACCATACTTTTAAATTTTTAAACTATGCATTTTAATTTAATTTAAAACATTTTTTATTAGAGCTGGAAGAAACTCCTATATATTAAATAGATTCTGAACCAGGAGTATCTGTCCATTAGTTGGATTTCCTAATTTGAGTGATCACTGTTTTGTTCCTTCTTTTGTTCACTAATTTTTTTGTTTTTAAGTAAGGAAACTGGTTGATGGCCTGGCTAAAACTGTATTTACTAAGCCCAAAGCTTCCTCATGTGCTTAGTTAATTCTCTGAAACTGCAATATATTTAGTATCTTGAGAGCTAATGAAGAACTTTTTCGTGTGTGTTTTCACACTTTTGTTCAGGGAGAACACAAGTCAGTGCTAACAGCTACCGTGTAACCACTACAGAGGCAGTGCTCCCGTCAGTTCTGTAAATCGCCTCACCCCCAGGAACTAGAACTGTGCCTTGCATGTAGAAGGTACACATCAAACACCAATGAATTAAAACATTTTACTCAACCCATTCTCTCAAGTTTTACTCTCTTATCTTTCACTTGGGTTTTCCGACTTCTTGTTTATTTTTTTCTGTGATCATGTTTTAGATCTACTAGTGGTTCTGACTGACATTAATTTATCCCTATTGGCGGCACTCAAAATAAAATGAGTTGCTACTCCCTTCAAAATAATTTATATTTTATTTGGGAGAAATATTCCCTCTTACAAATATAAAAAGGTACCATTAGAAGCAATGAAGCCCAAACCAAGGTAAGTCTCCAATACTCTCTTCAATGCTTGTGAGAGAACAGAACTCTACTGATCTTTCTTGCCTTTCATACTATCCATGTATTTTTCCTGTAAAATTGGTTTCCAATTAACGTATTAGTTACAAAGAAAAGGGAGGGTGGGAAGGGAGCAAGAAGGACAACCTATTTTACATATCTCAAAATTGCTATGTGACCTCTTTGCAGAGTATTCCTATTAATGCTGCATAAATTATGGGTAAATTCTAATTGAGAAAACTTATATAACAAAATGTTAAAGTAAACTGCCTTGCTTAAAAAGACAATGACAAGTATGATTATAACAATGTAAAGATATTCATGATGCATACAAAGAACAAAAGAACAAAGAAACTAAGGTGGTAAAAAAAAAGTTTGCTTTTATCAAACTTTGATAAATATTATTTCTTATAAAAAAGAAAAAGTAAGAATGCTCCTTTAAATTGCTTTAGCAACAAACATTAATTAGAATACTAAGAAGAAATTTTACCTACATATACAAAAAAAATTTGAAAATCATGATGTATTTGTCAACAAAAATAAATCCTGTCTTTATTTACCAAGGTCCAATTTTTAATTTAAAAGCAAATAGGGGAATGAAATATTTAAAAAGCCCAGGGGGGAGGCAAGAAATACATTAAAAGATAATGTACAGATATATACTTAATTTAATAAAAAAAAAATCAGAACATACCATGCATTTGCTGGTTTGGGGGCTCTTGAAGGAGCAGTGAAAGCTGTTTCCATGCTATTCATTCCTGAATTATTCTCTTTGGTAGTCATTGCAATCATTTTTCGTTGCTTCTGAGAAAGTTTAACTCCATGGGAAATCATTTTTCTAGAAATTAAGTTAAACCAATCAGTCTCACTGCTTCTGAGAAAGTTTAATCCCATAAGAAATCATTTTGCTAGAAATCAAGCCAATTAGCATTCATTTCTACTTAACGAAGGCTACGGGTAATTATTTTGCTTTCTGTTTATTTGATGAAATTTTACTACTACTAGATCAAAATGACCATGTAAGTTTCAACAGATTGTCACTGTATAATCAGTTTATACTATCAATGATCAAGAAATAGCTACATACGCCCTCCTACTAACACACTTGCATCAGAAATAGTCCAATCATCATTTTAGAGGCAAATTTTTAGTATATAATATTGTATTTCACAAGAGCTGGACTATCAGCCCAACTCAATCTTCAGCATGTATTTAAGAAATACTTTTATGGAGGCAAAATTACCTAGGAAAGAGCTTATAATTAACTTTAATATCAAATGCAGAAAAACAACAGGAAAGGTCCAGTAGGTCTTTCCAGTTCCTTAGGGCAGAACTATGTAACACAACATGGTCTTTACTTCTTTATGATTTTGTAACCAACCCCAGATTTGTCTTTGGTGTAGCTCCACACTTTTGTCTGCTTTCTTCAATTTGCATGATGGTTCTGAGGTCCATGACAGGAGGGCTGACAGGACTAAAAAACAATATAAAAGTTGCTTTACAACACATTCATTTATCCATAAAGTCCAACCCACAAACTTCACTGAAACTGCAAATTACATAAAAAATCAATGAGAGGATAATAGGTCTATTTTATCAGCTGTGGCCAACTTTAAAAAGGATTTTTGAATGAAAGCTACTTTTATATGTACATAGATAAATAATAACTAAAATGCATCCAAAGTCATAATGTTAAGTGATACATGTTTAATAACAGTCTAACATTAGTAATTAGAAGATGCTTCTAGGTGTTCCCACAAATATGTTTATCTGGGCAAAAAAATTGAGAACAATGTCTGAACTATCTTTAGACCATGAAGCATCATAAACCGGGACATCATAATCTTTGTTCTAACTGTGTGAAATATAACATATTTCAAAACAATTACACAAATGGTCCAGATGATAATATAATTAAGTCAATTAACAGTTTTAGCCTATTATAAGCCATACTAGGTGTATAAAGATGAAGTACAAGCTCAATATTTGAAAAATATTACGTTAAATACTCCTTCAGTTTCAAAAACTAACTTTTCTAAATAAAAGAAAAAATATGAAGAGAATATAGGTTAAGTTAAAAGCACATAATTGTGAATAACACATTTTGTGAGATCTTAAAAACCCCTTAATGTGCTTTAAAAAAAAAAAGCTAAAATAAGCCCTCAAGCGACAAAATGGTCTCCCTGAGTGGGAGTTTTAAAAAAAAAAAAAAAAAGCTGCTATGAAGTGACTGTGTGTGTTATATAGCATTTACCAAAACTCACTGATGACATTACAAAGCAACTAAATTTTGACGAGAAAAAAGCCTTTTAGCTGGTTAGGAATTTGTATACATTTAGGTAACTGTGTATTAGAAATTTATATTACTAATTTTTGAATGTGCTTTATTAAAAATTTTTGTTTAACTAAAAATGAACGGTATTTCTCAGACTAACAGGTACAGAACAAAATGAAAAGTCTACCTGAAAGACCCAGAAACCCAACTGGAAGAGCTGGTAGTGTCAATTCTGTTACTGGGAATGGGCTGTGGAGCAGATATTTTAAGTACTGGTGATTTTTCCCATGGTTTTAAATCTTCCCGAAAATATGCAGGAGGCGTACCATTAACATATGATTTACTTTTCCCCTGAAGGTAAGGAAAAAAAACATTAAAAAAGTGAGTAATAATGGATACCTCTAGCACAGCAGCTAACACATAGTTTATACTTAGGAAATATTGGTTAAACTGTATAAAAGAATAAAATCTTATGACAATAATCATCCAGCATTTTTAATTCAGTTCTTCCACTGAATTTTTTAATAACTGATCAATTCTCAAGCCATATTGGTGACTATAACCCAATTATTCTAAGCTTTGGGAGAAATTTTTAGGGAAATAAGTTTGCATATTAAATCCCTATTTACACAAGCACTAAATTAAAATGTTAATAAATGAAAGTTTCTTAAATATGACATGAAGCAGTAACATTAATGTCCATGACTTTAAAATGAAACAGAATGAAAGTTTGGTGTAAATGTCATATAATTCACTATGGGTGTAATTAAAGGACTCTGAATAAAATTAAAGCCAAATAATATAAACACTTCAAAAAAGACCCTAAATTAACTATTGCTATTACAAAAGGTCAAGGAAGTTACTGAAATGGTATGTCCACTGCCAGGATAGATTCTTATACTACCACCAGACATTCACAGCATGTCTTCAACCTTCCTTTAAACCTCAACTGTCTTTCACACCAACCTCAGTGCTAGTATGAAATTGCCCCCAAACTTCTACCCTGTATTAAAAATCACAAAAAAATGTTTCAAATCAATCCTTGAGGCCTAGAAGACTCTAATAAGAAAGAGAAAATTTTCTATTGTCTCATAAATTTCTAGAAGTTTTAATACGTTTGGTGGATGTATAGAGGTTAGAAAAAAATTATCTACTAAAGTAAACATTTCCCTTCCCTAATGATTAACAATTATGGAGTAAAATGTTAAGAGATGTCTAAAAAGTGGCCTCCCCAGAGTCGGCCGGACTAGGAATTTAGCAACTTAGTGTCAGCTGTGCTAGACAAGGAGACTTTCACTCCAGCTGCACTGCCCCAGCTCCCTCCATGGAGGGAAGACACCAAACAGATTCTGAAATTAGGCTTACTTTCAAAAACCATCTTCTTTCAACAGTTTTTAGCTGGTGTTACCTGACAGTTCACAAAACAAATTTCAAATAATTTAGTCATAAATACATACTTCAGTATGTCTATACAGTATTGCTATATTTTAACATCAATATTACATTTTATTGCATAAAGATTAAAATTCAACATAATAAAGGGCTCAAAACTGCCACTGAAATCTTTAAAACTAGACGTATTAGGCAAATTTGAGAAAACTAACACTACATGTCATTAAATTATACTTTCTTATAAACCAGTCAGAAGTGTTTTAAAATTAGAGTAAAAATAATGAAAAAGTAAACTGTCTATAAACTGAAGTCTGACAAAGATAGTGCATTAATAAACAAATAAAAACAAACCTCAATCTTATCTGAATGAAATCCTGTTGTGAAATCAGGGGACTGTAAATCTCTAGGACTACCCACTCCGGCGTAGCTTCCTTCAGAGTCTGATGTCAACAGTTCTGGAAGAGAGTCTACAGAATTGGTCTTACCAGACTTTAATAATCCTAAAAGGTAAAACAATTTTAAATATTAAACACATATACATTACACACATATGTATTACATTTAGTGAACTAAATAGTGCTAAAAACTTCCATTTATCCAGATTTAGTAACAATTAGACTCTCTGTACCAAAAGCTTAATAATTCAAGCTAACTGAAGAAATCAGTTGAACTGAAAACCTGAAATGGAGATTTTAAAACAACACTTTTATTCATTTCAATTACACATCAATTATGCAGTGAACCTGAGGAATACAGTTCTTTGGTATCTATTAAAGAAGTGATTCAGAACTTTTTCCCCCCTCATAAAAATAAAGAAGGAAGACAAAATTAATAAACTCCACACCGCTCCCCTTGTCCATCGGTCTCTGCACCTATGCAGAAGGGGAGCAGCCCCAGCCTGTGCGGGAGGCTATAATGCTTCTGTCTGCCACTCATCTAACCAGCAGACTGACCCAGCAGCAGAGGCCTTGCTGAAGCCAACTGTGGCCTGTTTGAGAGTCTTCCTTCTGCAAAATACCTACAGACTGAGAGCTATTTTCAATTAGCTTATCACCTAACGCATGAGTTGTTACGAAATGTATAAACCATTTCTTCTCTTAGGCAAGCTAAATACTTATCTCCCTGCTACACCTGGTCCAAGTTCTTTAGCAGATCAACTATTTCAAGTAATAAGAGTAAAAAAACTTTTGCTTTGGTTCATGCATTTATTTTCATATTTAAAATGTAGGACAGTCTAAATGAAGTGGCAAAATTAATTATATGAACTGTAACTAAAAGTTGTACAATTGATTTGAAAATAAAACATATCATCTCGAATAAATTCAGTAAGTTTTGTTTTTTAAAGTAAATCACCTTGACAAGACACATGCCTTTTTTTTGTTGTTATTGTTAAAACAGTTTGGAAATAACATCAAGTATTTTTCCCCCACAATCTTAAATATTTTTAAGAGTAGCAAATTTTCATAAAAGAGAGTATGTTTAATTCTGGAATGCTCCCAGAAGTCAGTTAGAAATAAACCTAATGAATAAAAAAGACGATTTAAGTAGCCAACAATTATTTTTGATAAAAAACATTTTCACAGAATGCCTTCTGTCTAACTTTAAGGATCGACACAAACAAAAGATAAGCCTTCACACGACTGTCCTTGATGAAATTTGCTGAATAGGTTTTTTGGGACCCCAATTAAATTTAACCTTTCAATCATTATTTGCTTTGGCCTAGATAGACTGGTACAGTAGGAAGAATACAGAATTGGAATCAAGAAAATAAATTATATTTGTCTGTTACTACCTCAAATCACTTAACTTTTGAGCTTGTTTCCTCAAATTTAAAGGAAGGAGCATAAATTAGTTCATTACTGTATCTTCCAGCTCTGAAATGCTAAGACTCTAAAACATGTGCTAACAATAACATCATTAAAAGCAAACCAAATATCCACTTTTTCTATAAATCTTTTAGGTATCTGAAAAATCACCAGTTTCATGACTGCCTGTCCATTTATTAATCCTTCCATCAACCCACCTATGCCTCCTTCTAAGGATTAGAGGTAATTCATGTAACACAGAGAACATAAAATTACAGAATTTTAAACTTTAAAAGGTCCTAAAATAGGAATCAGGGGATACAGATGTAAAACAACTATTCTTGATATTATTTTTTCCTTTCAGCTTTATTGAACGTGTCAAGTACCTCATTTGTAGTATCTTGTTAAACATAAAAATATGTTCTTCTTTGCAATGAATAATAGCTATTTCTTTCACAGGGACAATGTGCACTTGTTTTTTGCAAAGTTGCTTGTATAAGGCTGACTATGAAAATCCTGCTGATAAAAACTGCACCAATTTGTGTTTTATTGTTATAGATATAACTACTAGTTCTGAAAGCCACACTATAGTCTCATTATTTTTTTGTCACACTTCAATTTTTGTCTAAAGAAAACTTATTAAAATTTAGGTAGTTTTAATCTGGATCTAATCAGAGGAATCTAGAATGTGGGGGAATCTACAGTATCACTGGCCTAATGATAATGGTACTGCGGTCATATAGAAGACTATCCTTATTTTCAGAAGATTCATATTAGCAATGGGGGGTAGGGGGGAGTCATGTCTTCAGCTTAGTTGCATGTGGCTCAGTAAAAAGTAAAAAGTGCATGTGTAGAATGTTTGGGGGATGAGCGAAGACAGCATGCAATACAAAGCCTGCAAGAAAAAGCAAATGTGGTAAGAGGTTAGCAATAAATCTGGATAAACGGTATAAAGGTATTCGGTGTATTTTTCTTTCACCTTTTTAGTAACTTGAAGATTTTCAAAATAAAAAATTAGGGAAAAAATTTTAGAAAAACTACATAACCTTACTTTCAAACAGGCTCACATAATGCCTGATACAAAACGTGTTCTATTGTACTACTGGATGGCACCTCCTTATGCACATCCCACATGGCATCTCGCCTGGATCACTGATACTTGTGTGTGTGTGTAAACTGAATCCACATGATAACAGTATCCCTGCCATGTTTTGCCTACCTCTAGCCCTCTATGTCACTAGACAAAGTGGTCTTTCTAAAAACATAAATCTTATCCAGTCACATATGTTAAATGAATTAGATACGGAATGGAGATTTGAAAGTTTAGATCAGAAAATATACCCTAAAACACTTTCCACTCACCTGTAGATGGTGGACTCTGAATAATATCTGAAAGGTTATAACCTCCAGAACTATCTGATCGCTTACGTGGCTTCTTTTTTGCTTTTGTTTTTGTCTTCTTGAACATACTTTCCCTAGGAAAAGAGCAAACAAAAAGTCACCTAAAAAAAAAATTAGTTAAAGATGAAACAGCAGAAGAACGATGCCTTTTGAGCAACAGAATATAGCATGCTGGTCAAACAGAAAACACAACGACATGGAAGGATATGCACGCTCTGGGACCATTTACCTATGCGGTCTGGAGCAAATCACTCAATTTCACTGAACCTCAGTGTGATACTATCACTTGTTCTAACTCTAGCATTTCTGTAAAATTCAGAAACAAGTTGGTATATAGGAAAATGTTTTGAAAAGTAAAATACTGGACACATTCACACACAATCTATTATAAACTATGATCTTGAACTAGAAATATTTGATGATAATTTTTAAAGTATTTCAAGGGCTGTGTAATTCCCTGAATTAAGTTTTATTAATCAGGAAAGGGAAAATAAAATTATCTAAGAACTACAATTGCCTTGTTTCACATCTCACTATATAACTCATCCACAGTTACACAGGGTCAGCTGTGGATACTATTATTTTGTAAAGGATAATAGATTTATGTCAATGTTAATTTTATTATAACTTTTAATATAATAATATGCCATACGTCTAAGTCAGGTATCTATAGACTTCAAGTATCCCAATGGCTACTATCAAACTCTAGAAAAAGAGTTTAAAAAAAATTGCTGGAACTAAAAAGTTTTTCAGTGAGCTACACAGCTGATTATTATGCACACACATATATACACACTCACACATATATAAATGACTTTAATACCCCCAAATTTTATTTTAACAGATCATTTACCAAACAGTAAAAAAGTAATTTTATAACCAGCTGGTAAGTGAGACTAAAGTGCAGGTTGGAAATTCTAAGCAGGACTTGTCAAATGGTCAACAGAACGATCATGTAGGACCTGGGATATTTTGTTGGAGGACTCCCAAACGCCAGCCACTGCAGGTACTCTCTCTTGAACCAGTAGGGCTCTCTTTACAGAGGGATCCAGAGGAGTGGCTGATGCACTCCCCTTGGTTCACCCTCTCCAGAAGGAGACCCTCTAGTCTTTGGCCAAGACAGAAGAGGGGCAATCACTTTGTTGAATGAGCCTCAGGAAGAGATTGATGATACTTGAAAAAAAATCTCAAAAAATGCTCTTTTCCAAATTCAACTACTTACCCCGGTCCTTATAAACCTAGTGCCTCTAATTCTTAAGCCTTTCCAGAATTCAGTTTTTCTATTTTAAGTCATTACTGCTCAGCTGCCACTTTCCGAGGTCTAAAACTGTTTAACATCCGCTGACTGCCATTTACTCTTTTCCTGTTCTCTCTGCTTAAGCACAACATGCCTTTTTTATTTCTTTCCTATAATCTCAGCAAGGTTTTAAAATGTAGTTAACAGGAACGCACTTATTTAACCCAATATACTTAACCGTAAAGCTACATTCCTTTCATATTTATACTTAATTTTGTTATACCTGCAAATATTAATTATATTTACTTCATATTTTATCAAGGCTAAGAATGAACATGAATACCTATTTTTTATGTCAGGTTTCTCACTTTTTCTTTCAGTACCAATATGAAAGTGTCAGTAGTGTAAAGACTGGGGAGAGAGGGAGAAGGAAAGGAGAAAAGAAAAAAACAAAAACAAAAACAGAGCTTACGAATAATTTTGTTCCAAGTTTATTTCTTCTTTCAAAAAGACATCACCATCTTCTACATCCAAATAGCTAATATCTGGTCCATCTTGATATGGTGTAATGACTCTTCTATCCATTGCTGGAATCTATAGGGAAAACGATGCCACTTTTTAAATACAAAATTTGCAGAGGAATGACATCAGCAACATGGTGGACTGAAAAGCTACCTGTATCTTTCCCCTTCAAATACAACCACCATCCACAGCTAAACAGAGGTGCCTCTGCCCAACCCACTCAGACACCAGAGACTTCCACACATTTGTACAGCTAAAGATGGCTGGACTAGAACACACAGAGTAGGCGGAACTGAGGGAACAGCGGAGTCGCCTGCAATTCTGGGCCTCTAACCATGGCAGCTGAGCCCACAGCTTCAGAGAACCCAGTAGCAGCAGGTGAGGTGGTGCACACAGCCCTGGCATCCTGAACAGAGCAGGGCTCATAACCACAAGTAACTGGGTAGCAGTGGCAATGTGTCCTGGAACCCAGCCCATGCCCCCGCCCACCATCCACAGTGACAGAGTCCCCCAGCACAGTGGCAGAGCCCATTAACCTTACAACACTGGACACAGTAGAGGTACCTGTGCAACCTTGACTCTCCCCACCCCCATTATCCTCCTCCCTTCACACTGCGGAGTTTGTAACTCAAGGAATCCAGGACACTGGGGAAGAACCCACTATCCCAGTGATGACAGCAGCTGTGGGAAAAGAAAGGCAGTAAGAACCCTAGAGGCACAAGAAGCAATAAAGAAGGCACAGAGGCACTCCTCTTACCGAGACGATGGAGCCTTGAAAGTACCAACTCTCAAATATAACTAAAGGCAGCTCAGGTAAGAGAAACCAAAACTTTGTGTTGTAATGCCACCTACTGGAAAGCAAAAGAAAAGTCTCTAACTTCTAACCTGTCATTAACTTCAAGTGCCCCTACAGGGGAACAATTCATTGAGCACCACAAAGAAGCAGTTAACACTATACTACAAAAAGAAAATAACAATTCTCCAGGCACCAAAATCGTGACTACTGCTATCGCCCTGATCAAGAATTCAGCACAGCTGTCATGAAGGAACTCAGTGAGCTACAAGAAAAGTCAGAATGGCAGTTTAATGAGCCCAGGAATAAAATTAATGAACAGAAGGAATACTTTACCAAAGAGACTGAAACTCTAAAAAAGAACCAAACAAATGCTGGAGCTGAAGAATTCAATAAGAGAGATTAAGAATGCATTAGAAAAGCAATGGCAATAAAGCAGACCATGTGGGAGACAGAATTAGCAAGCTCAAAGGTAAAAAATCTTAAATTGATACAAGTAGAAAAGAGAAATAAGATACCAAAAATCTGAGGAAATTCTACAAGACCTATCCGTTTCAGGAAGGACACACTGGGATAATGAGTATCCCAGAAGGAGGAAAGAGAGAGAAGGGAGCAGAGTTGTTTTTTAAAGAAATAATAACAGAACTTCCCAAACCTGGGGAAGGAACTGGATATGCAAGTCCATGAAATTAAGAAAACACCTATTACCTCAATGCAAAATAACCTTCTCCAAGACATTATATTAAAACTGTCAAGTCAATGATAAAGAAAGAGTTTTAAAGGCAGCCAGGGAAAAAAGGATGATAGCCTACAAAGGAAACTTCATTAGTCTATCAGCAGATGTCTCAGCAGAAACCCCAAAGGCCAGGAGGGAGGAAACGACATTCTCAAAATGCTAAAAGATAGAAGTGTCACACAAGAATACTCTATGCAGAGAAGTTATCATTCAAATATGAAGGAGAAATAAAGGCTTTTCTAGACAA